AAACCTAATAAGAAACTAGACTATAAAAGAGTAGGCCCGTTTAAAATTAGAAGGAAAATCTTAAAAACGGTATTTAAATTAAAATTATTTAATATAATATATTTATAATTATATACCTTTTATATCTCACTTTTAAAACCCGTACTATACGTAAATGAAACTAATATATAGGCTATAGCGGAGAACGAAAAAGAAAAATATAATATAAAGGAAATATTAAATTTACGGTTTAATAAAGATTAATTAAAATATTTAATTAATTAATTAAAGTATTTAATTATAAATAATTTATAGGAACTAGAAGTAAATTTTAATTACTTAAATAAATAAAAGAAATTTTATTAATAATATTTAAACCGATTAAAACCTAAATAAAAAAAAATCTTTAAATTACCGTTAAATAATAATAATATAAAAAGTCGAAAATTTTAATAAGAATCGAACTTATATTTTTAATATAATAATTAATGTATTATATACTATACTATAAAGTTAGAAAATATAAAAGGGATTAAATATAAGTAATATTATACGCCTTAATTACTTTAAAAAAAGGAAAGTATGCCGTTAACGGTATTTTAAATAGCAAGGAAAGAAAGACCGGCTATATTAGGATTAAAAGATAGATCGTCCGGTAAGGCTAATTAGGTTAGTTTAGTATATCGGAAGCTTAGTTAAGGGAAGAGGCTAAAGGAGGATTAGCCGCGGAAGAAGCTTATATTTCTTTCCGCTTTAGATCCTTAATTATCCGCTTTTCGCGAGCGGTTAGGTAACGGAATGTAATAACTAAAGTATAACGCTAAATATTTATTCGTAAAAGTTTCGAAATAATTTATAATATAGCTATATAACTTTATTATTCGTCGGCGTTTAGTTTCTTTTTTTAGTAATATAAAGAAGTTATTAACGTAAAAGTAAGGCCTAAAATATTATAATCGGAGTAACCGGAATATATATAGTAATTATATTTAAAGGAGCGTTCGGAAGTGCGGTAATCGGGGATATTAAGGGCCTTATAGTAAGAATAGGGAAGTATTTTATTACCGAAAATAAAAATAGCGGCTATAAGATTTTAACGGCGAAGGATATTCGAGGGACCTTTTAGCGTAGATTTTTTAATGCGGTTAAATATTATAGAAGGATAGTAATAAAGGAAGAAAATTTATTTAAAATTATCGATAAGAAAAATAAACGAGTTAAATTATTGGAGCGTTAATTTAAGAGGGGGAATATTATATTATAACCCTAATATAAAACGGTTATAGGGCTATAGGAATAAAGAGTTAATCGGGAGAACGTATAGGGAAGTTAATTATAGTAAAGGTAAAGTAATTAATATAATTAGGGTATTAAGTAAATTAAATAAAATAATTAATATAATTAAAGTACTAAATAAACTAAATAAAGGTAATTAATATAATTAAGGTACTAAGTAAATTAAACCGAGGTAATTAGTAGCCTTAAAAAACTAATTACGGCTTAGTATAAGGACTATATATACGGAGGAACTAGCTAATATAAATAAACAGTTCCGTAATATATAATTTAAACTTATATTTATAGCATTTTATATTTATATTAAAAACATTTTATTATGCACTATCTAGTTACACCGAACTAATTATTAAAAATTACCTTTAACCTATATCCCTTTTAAAGGTTCTATACAGGGGTTCGTTACAATACTATATTTAATTTTAATATTCCGTATAAACGTAAATTACTCGGTAATAATCTACGGATCTTTATACTTAGCCCCTTTAATAGTCGTATTTATACGTAAAACGTATATAGAGCTATAATTAACGTTTAACGAAGTTATATACCTAGCGTTAATTAGTAGGGGGCGCGTCGCGTATACGTAATAGTTAGTTAGTTATATCTTTTACGCTACTTAATTTAGGTAAGAATATATATATAGATAGCTTAACGAACGTACTAAACTATCGTCTTTTCCTCCAGATCCGTTAAATTACGTCAAGTTGGTCTAGAATATCAGCAGTCTGTATTAGGCTTACTAGCGCGCCGGCGATAAATGGGTAATATAAGGCATAGAAGTAGAGCCTCGCTATAGCTCTTAAGGCTCTAGCTTAGGGTTATTTTTAAAGGCTTCGAGTGCAAGAATAACTTTTACTTCAATTAGAATCGAAGACATCTTGGTATGGTGGAGGAAATCGATGTTGCAGGTAGAGAACTATATCGCGTACGAAATCGATCCACTCACATTGTCGCGATCCGCTCGCGTGTAGTATAAAATACGTTATTCCAACTTTAGCGAGTGTTGAGAGGCGAGTGATCAGAGTCTTTACAAGCACATGACCGCACCGCTCAATATCACCTCGATGGCGCACGCTGGAAAGTGAATCTTCGAGGAGCAACGCTTGAAAAAGTTGATATTAATAAGGTATCTTGTAGAAAGGCATGGCCCACTTGATTTAAAAGCCACACACCAGTTACTCTAAGGGTTTTGTTGGTTATCGTCTTTTACCATAGCTACCCTTTGGCTTTCTTTGGTTTTATACAGTAAGTACGTTATTTGCATCGGAAGTTTCATCTGCCTCTTTTTACTCACCGATTGCTTGCCCCACACACCGTGAGTGAACTTGAAACCTTTTAGCAGTATGTGTAAAGGCTATGCCAAGACCTCTTGCGCCTGTGGGATGGGCTGATGGCAGAGCCACAAGAACAAGCTGATAACGTCTTATACCTTCCTACCCAAAAAGACTGGGGGTAATTGCAAAGAGCACACACTTACTCTACGGTCATGACTCAGAGTACCGCAGTTGCTAATAGCGACCATTTTATGAACTGAAACAGAGTCGGAACTGCATGTCCGCAGTGTTTCTAAGCGAATGAGTCGGGCATACATCTGCACGAAGAAAACATACATGTTGAAGAGATGTTGTGAATGTTTGAAGTAGGAATAACCCATGCTCAGTTTAATATGTCTATGGGCAACTTCCTAGCGAGTTATACCCCAGACTACAGACAGAATAAACAAAATCCTTCATACTCCCCCCTATCCCCAAACCCTAAAAACAACCCTCTTCCCAAGCAAGAACTCCCAAATTGGGGTAGCCTTCCGTGATCTCAGCCAGATCTTGGGCAGGTATCTTTTCCAAGTCGTCACGATAATCAGGGTCATCCCGGTCGATAATTTTGGACATGACAATCAAGTCGTCCTCATCGCCATGCCAGACATACCGCGATGTCTCCATTCGTTTCAACTCGTCCTTGAAATCGAAAGCATTTGCATGGCGGGAATCATCGAGCGGCCTACCGTCGTGGTACTCCTAGATGCCAGGGCGGACAGCAACCTTGACGTTCTCCACCTGCCGCCATCCCCTACATGTTGTTTTTTGAAACCACTACTCATACTTCGGACCGTCAGCCCGGCGGCGAACTTCAACAAAACCACCTGACTTGGCGTTAAAGGTCCGACGGTTGGGAGGGGCTGGGATGCCGTAGCTGGGTCTGTTGATATGCCGGTCGATGATCCAAAAGTTAGGAAAGTACTGCTTGGCCACTGTTAGGCTGTACTTGACGTCGAAATCGTAGAAGCCGTGGTACTCCTTGGGACCCCAGTCGAAGTCCTCATTGGGTTGAACTCATTGGGGATTGAACTCGATGGCGATGTGCGTGGCAGAGAATGGCACGGCATGTGCCCACTTCGGTTCCGGCACCAAGAAACTTCTCGGCATCGGTATCTCTTTGGGCAATACATCACCAATGACGACAATCAAGTCTTTGAACCTATCAATCGAGACCCGGCGGGTGCTCGGGCTGTCCAAGGGGTCAAGAGGAATCTCGATCTCCCGTGTTTTGCCCGCAACTCTGCCCATTGGCAACCTCCCCAGGCGGCCGAGCCGTGCTATCTCACGGCAAGCATCGGCGCAGCTTTCCTCGACTGTGTTCTCAAAGATGTAGGCGGAGAAGTTCCTGGTTGCTGTGGTCGACAAGGCATAGCCAAAATAAGTTGCTGTTTCTTGGGGAGTGACCATCTCGTTGGCGGCGGCTGGTGTGGCATTTGGCTTCAGAACCCGTATCTTGTCGACAAGATCGCTGTAGCTCAGCTCTGTATAAATGATAGAGGTGGTGGTTCAGTAGGGCGAAAATATGCGCGCCCGGCTCTGGCTTCCTCAAAGATAGCCCCAGATCTGATCCTTGAGTTCCTGAGGGAGATACGGGAAGTGCTCAAAGCGTTGCATCTTGGGAACAGACTATGGTTGAGAGAAATTCAGGATTACCAAAGAAGTTATGTTAGGAATGCTTTTCGTTGTTCTGCGTTTATAAGAACCTACTCTTGCCAAGATATTGAAATGAAAGATGTGATAGCTCTCATAAGATGTCTAAAAACGAGAAGGAGAGCGCGGATGTGTAGTTGGCTGGAGGTTCACAAAATCACAAGCTCTCGTGAGGTCTGGTATAGGGATAAAGGGGAACAAATCCATCGTTGGAAAGGAAAGAGAATCTATGGGTCGACAAGTCGACCCATTCACTTCAGGATGTGGGAAGACTCGATGATAACAGCCAGACTGTGAGGCTCCTGAAATGACGCACATGCTGAGTTAATTGGCGAGGATATCGCAAAGAGCAGCAAGAGACCATCCCAAATTTATTATCATATGTCGTTTAAGATGGACTTGGTATGGGTATGATGAGTGTGCCATGAATTGCTCCTAGGGCTGGACCAGCCTCTGCTGCAGCCAAGTCCTCCACAAGACCTCTTCGGGCTCTGAGATGGTTCAGGGAGGTGACCCCTTTATACCAGAATGAAGATTGGTCTGACTGTCATCAAACGCCTTCCTTGTAGTCATGGCCGAAACAATGTGCCAATGCCGATTTGCAAAGGAGACTTCTCAGGAAAACATGTTGGGATACCTTGACCAAACCTGATGCCCGCAGAAAACCATTTGGATCACGAAAGCAAGGTACCTATTCTGATATTGGTTACATTAGATACCTAGGGTAGGCACCGACAGCGCCACATCGCCCAAACCTCACCACCGCCTAGCATCCGCCAAAACATCCACACTCGCCTTCTCACTCAACAAAAACGTGCTCAGCACCGGGAACGCCCCTGGCGTCTTGGGAAACGCACTCCCATCCACCACCCTCAACCCATCCACGCCCCTAACCCTAAACTTGCTATCCAACACCGCCAACCGATCCCTATCCCCACCAATAGCACAAGTACTAGTAGCATGATGCCCAAAACTCTGATCCCTCGCCCACTCCTTATCCCCAGCAAAACAACCCGTCCCCCCGTCACAAGGCGGCTCAGTAGTCGTCATCGGCCCCGTCGGCCCCTCCACATTCCCATAAACCCTCCTCCCCCAAGCAGCTGCCTCAGCCAACGCTCCCAAATCTTGATCAGCCCCCGTCTGGAACATCTCAAAGTTAATCAGGGGAGTATCTGCGGATTCGCACTCCTCAACCTAACAGTCCCCGCCTGGGAAATAGGATTGATCTTTACAACCGAAAAGCCAAACACCCCCAACGGATCAGGAGGGATAGCCACAGCCGCATCATTGGGCCAATACCCCCTGAACGCAAAATTCGCCAGACTAAACACGAGAATGTCAAGCTCCCCGTCACCGGAGTAGTTCGTCTTGAGCATAAAAGCGTTTGTGTTTGCCGCCGGGCGGGCATAGGGGCCAAGACCCTGATACCAGAGGTCGATGCACGGATCTGGGACGCCGGGAGGGCCGAAGCCGAAGAAGCATTCTGGCTCGCCTGGGATGGGGATCGTGAAGAAGGGTTGGTTGTCTTTTGCGATGCCGACGACGGGGTATTCCGGGTTGTCTTGGAGGCGGGAGCCAACGCCGGGGAGGTCGACTAGGACGGAGATATTGAGCGAGCGGAGGTGTTCTTTTGGGCCGATTCCTGAGAGTTGGAGGAGTTGCGGGGTGTTGAAGACGCCGCCGGAGAGAATGACTTCTTTGCGGGCTCTGACGGTGCGTTTGGTGCCTGTGTTGGAAGGATTGTGGCGGGCGTCGGCCGAGTAGAGGGATTGTCCTTCGAGGTACTCGACTCCGATGGCACGGGGCTTCTTGTTTCGGGGTCTGTCGAAGAGGACTTTGGTTACGAGGCTGTTTGTTTTGAGGGTCAGGGGGTAGCGAGGAGATCCACTGGGTTTTTTGGCAGCCAGAGTGTCAAGGACGATGGTGCGGGCACTGAAACGACCCCAGGTTTGGTTGGCGTGGAAAGGAAGGCCGAAAAGACCTTGGGTTGTGTCTCGAGATGGAGAGGGGTTGTTGAGATCGCGAGTCACATCGGTGAGTGCGTTGTTGGGGTTGCCGCCGATGGATGCGATCATAGACCTGAAGACGGAGAGAATGCCGGGACTGCGAGAGTAGACCTCGCCATCATTTCCGTTGATGTCGAGATAGCCATTGAATCCATGGCCCAGGGTTCCGGGTGGGAGATAATGGTTCCTCTCAACACGCGTGAAGATCTTGCGAATGTTGTCACCGCTGTGGAATTGTCAGTTCTCGACAAAGCCGCATATCTTGTGAGGGGATCACCAACCTCCAGCTGCGGTCACCCGTTTTCCTCCAAATTTCATCCCAGGTGCTCTTGCTGGGCAACACTGTAACGCCGGCGTTGATGACCGACGACCCACCGAGAGTCGCGCCGCGGGGGTAGAAAACACCCAAAGGCGTGGCATCAGCTGGAGCAGAGCTTCCATTGCCAACGAACAAGGTCCCGTCAGCACGTCTCCATGTCAGGTGGTTGTTCTTCAGCTGCTGCGTGTCGTCGCCATACTGCCTCACGTAAAATCCCCAGCGGTTGGCATTGGACGTACTGCCGACATTGATGAGCTGTGTTCCAATATCGTTGCTCTGGTCATCGCCTGCCTCCAGGAGCAAGACAGAGTATCCCGGCTTTGGCGAGGTTGGAAGCAAAGTGGAGATCCGCCGGGTCCACTGCCTACAATCACATAGTCGTAAACATCTTGATTGTTGTTGTTGCCGCCACCTGGAATAGCAAGTGCGGGGGTGGCGCACAGGGCCAAAATGGCCGTCAAGCAATGCGTAAATTTGGCTGCCATTGTTGCGACTGAAGAGAAGAAAGAACCCGATTGTAAATGTCTGGCAAAGCAATACCTCCTCTTATACCACTGCAGTCATCTTCACCTTACCAAGGAACTAAGCCATACTTAGGTTGATATTCTGCTCTCCAAGCCATGGTGCAATAGTGCTGATTTGGGAATCCGAACCAGCGCAACAGCAAGTCTGGAACCGTCATCAGTCATCACACCTTTACGTGGCATGCCAGGGGTGTACCAGCATTAGTCGGGGAAAGCCTTACCTGAACAGTCAGGAACTGCGTGCTTGTGGTGGACAATATTCTGCGCCTCGTGGTAGTATTTGCTGCAATGCAACGCTAGCTTACGCCATGCAGCTCTGAACCAAGCTGATGGGCAGGCTCTTCAGTGGTTGGCTCTGGGGAGCAGGGTTCCGAATTTGCCGAGTCGATGATCACGTTATGCCAACGCTTGTCTTTTCCGTCTACTTACGACATGTGGCCTTTTCAGCTGGACATGTCAATGAATCGAGATGCACCTAGAGACAGCCTACTGGGAAGTAGGCCCCTTTTACAGGAACCGAGTAGGCCCTTCACAAATCTGAGTTAAAAAGGGCCTTTAATAGAGTGGTTAATAAGGCGTTTTGCCAGATAACGCCACCAGGCGTTTGAAAGGCCCAGGTAAATAGAGTTATCTCGTATCTAAAAGGTCTCTCTAAGGACTTGAAACGATACCTATATAGAGTAATCTCGGGAGACATGCCTTCCAGTCTCAACCACTTTACACAGGGCAGCTAAGGAGGCGCCTGGGTGTCTCTTTGATTAGCTTGAGCCACTCGGCGGTTGTATCTTCCTCCCGTTCAACGATGGCGAAGCAACTACCCTGAAACTTGCCTTGGTACTGCCACAGGCTACCAAGACCAGAAAATACATTTACTACCTGCGTACCCCCTTTACTCACCTTGCAAAGGTTCTGAACACCGGGACACCATTGAAGTGCTCAATAAAACCGTGGAAATGAATGTATGACGTACAGAAGGGGCAGGAGATCTATGGACTTCTTGTATAACGTATTTAATAAGCGAGCGGATTGGACATGCGAGTGGATCGATTTTGTACGCGATATAGCTCTCTACCTGCAACATCGATTTCCTCTACCATACCAAGATGTCTTCGATTCTAGTTAAAGCAAAAGTTATTCTTACACTCGAAGCCCTTAAAAATAACCCTAAACTAAGCCTCAAAGCTATAGCGAGGCTCTATTTTATACCTTATACTACCCTTTATCGCCGGCGCGTTAATAAGCTTATACGATACGATATTCCAATTAACTTACGTAATTTAACGAATCTAGAGGAAAAGATAATAGTTTAGTACGTTTTTAAGCTATCTATATATATATTCCTACTTAAATTAAGTAGCGTAAAAGATATAACTAATTAATTATTACGCGTATACGATACGCTCCCTATTAATTAACGCTAAATATATAATTTTATTAAACGTTAATTATAGTTCCGTATATATTTTACGTATAAATATAATTATTAAAGGGCTAAATATAAAGATCCGAAAGTTATTACCGAATAGTTAATGCTTATATAAAATATTAAAATTAAATATAGTATTATAAATAACGATATTTATAATTTCGACGAAATTAAATTTATAATAAATATTATTTTCGTAAATATAGTAATTATAATTTCGGACGGCTTTAATAAAATAAAATTAATTTAATTTAATAACTATAAGTAAGTAATAATAATTTAAAAAATTAATACCCTCGGTTAAATTATTTTATTTTTTATTATTTTAATTATATAGTATTATTTTATTAATTAATATACTAAATATAATTTATTATTTATTTAACGTATTATAATTATTAATAATAATTAAATTATTAATCTAATAAACCTAAATTAAATTAAATATTTCGATTATTATATAACGTTCTATATAAAAAATAAATATTCATTATTAATCTTTAATAACTACGAAAGTTATTATTTAATTAAATTTAAAATATTATTATTAATAAAATAATATTATTATACTTTATATACCTTTATATTTCTTTTACTTTTTTTATTACTTAATATTAATTACTTTAAACTATTAAAATAAATATATAACTACTAAATTAAAAGCTTAATATATATATATATTAATTACATAAATAAATTCAAATTTCTTTATACTTTCTATAAAACTTTTTTCGCTTTTATAAAAAAAAAATATATAAAATAATTTTATAAATATTAACTTTATATTATATAATTTAAAAAAAATACTTTTTAAATTAAATATAAAGTTTTATATATCTATACCCTTATCTTTAAAGTTAAATATAATATTACTTTAGGTATTCTAAATATTATAAAACCTTTAAAAAATTAATTTATAATTAATATTTATTAAAATTTATATTATTAATTATTAAAATAACTTTTTAACTTTAATATTAATTATAGTAAATTAATTTATTAAAAATATAATAATTATAATATATTAAGTAACTCTCTTTTAATTAAAGGTATCTTCGCTCCGTAAAATAAACGAGGTACTAAGTAAGCGCCGGAGAGTAAAAAAAATATACGTATAGTTTAAAGGATTACTTATTATATAAAATATATAGGATTTACTGGACTAGAAGGCTGTAGGTAGAGAGGTGGCGCAAAGAAAGAAGCAGGGTGGTAGTAGTATAGGGGGAGGGCGTACGAAGGTTTAGTGCTGTGGTATGTGCGGCAAGCCTGGCCATAATATCCGTACATACCAGGAGGTTACAGAAGAGTCTGATTCAGCTGTTTCTGATGTAATTGTAGTAGGTTAATAGTGTTATTGTTTTGCAATTGAGGATGGTTGTAATAGGGTAGTGGAAATCGATCCACTCGCTTGTCCGATCCGCTCGCTTATCAAATACGTTATATGATCTTCAATAAACCCACTCTCATCCCCCATTCTTAACTCCAGCAAGCATCCAGTACAAGAGACACCATAACTAACTCTTGGCTCGGCGTGTCCTGGTCGCTGATGTAGGACATCGCAGTAACTGCATAGTAGTCGAAGCCGCTGTACCCTTCAAATCCACCGGTGAAACAAACCCGGGTTCTCTGCTGTCCTTGACCTGGGTAACTGACTATCTGCATCTTTGGTTGGTTGTGTCTAAGCCATTCATCCTCGTCTTCGGTCTCCCTGAAACGATACGTGCCGAGCCTTCCCTTCCCCCAGATCCCACAATCAAAACAGCACTTTTGTAGCGGGAAAACAATGACGAACCCAGCAAACCTCCCACACTAGCACCGCTCAGTGCGCAGCGCAGCGTTGATCTCCGGAATGAAGTATGAGGCCAGTTTGGTGGTGATTAGCGTGACGATGACTTGGTTTCCAAACTTGGTAGCGAATCGACAGTCGGGTAGATCTGTGATCAGGTAGGTGTGTGTTTGTATCTCTTGACATCCTTTTGTGCGCTGATCATCTGGCATTGCCCTGCTGTGAAGAAAAGTGGATTGATTATTTCGAGTCCTCCAAGACCCTACGTAGTGGTATTAGCCAAGCAACAATAAAGCTAATGGTAAGACGACGTGACGGGTGACAAAATGACACAGGCCACACTTTTAGATACGCATTCTGACTAGGTAGCGATGCAAGCATACATGGTTCTTGGACTCATGAAGGGATCTGCTATGCTTGGTTGGACGCCTATTACATCATCTAGCCTTCAACTACCTGCCTACCTGCCTTAGGTATATCAAATAAGGTCCCTGGCTAAGTGTCTTCTTGGCTGAGATCTGTCCACTCCCGGGTCTCGTCCTCCGCGGAATCCACCCATGAAATACAGCGGTTTTCCTCAATTCCAGGACACCAGCTAAGGGAAGGATAAAATATCCCGTCTACCCTCGTCACTGGCCTTCCACAACTTCTACGCTTCAGGGCATCATCTAAGTGTGGCGCCAGCTTGGTTAAAATGATGACGACGAGCAGCTCGTCCCCGTAGGTTACTGTAAAGCGGGACTCAGGTTGGTGACCAGACTCCAGGCGCGACGGTTGCCACGCATAAACTGCAAGAGAGATGCGATATCGAGATAGTGCATAGCCTCATAGATCAGCTCAAGTGGAAATTTCTCCAAGGCTCCGAGGTTGGCATTCGGGGGGTTGACAGGAAACGTGTCGCTGCTTTCGAGGGAGGTGCCAATGGATGTGGATGTGATGTTGATCGCTTCGTGCCCCTGCTCATCAAGCTCCGGGTTATGCCAAGAAGCAACACGGAGAATGGCACTCTTGTCCAAGTCGTCCATGGAATATGGTTTGCTGCGGCGCCATTCGGGAAAAGGCTCATGAGCTGAGTCGGCGTCGTCGTCGGTCATGGCTGCTCCCCAAGTTGGGTGTTTGCGGTCGATTGAGAAGTATTTTGTCGGTGGGTGGGTAGGTAGGTGAGAAAAGCTGTTGGTCAAAAGAAAAATTGCAACGGGCAAAAGGCTGCATTTATAGGTACTGACTTGAGTTTGTCATCTGTACCCAAACCTTAACGAGCCTGTTGGTAACCTTTGAGAACTTTCGTGACGCCTATCAATGTAAGGTAAACTACGTACGTACCTTATCTTTGGAGACTTACGACCTAGACAGGGATCATCCAAAGCTTACAAGCCTAGAAAACGTTATGTCCATGAGACGGGACTCAAGCTTGACCATATCAGTATTTTCAATCTTGAATGTCAGGCCCAGCCTTGCTACTCGAAATGGAAGGCATATCCCATGAGTTCAATGCACTTGAGAGTTGGGTACACACGTGACCGAATGGAGCAGCTGAGAGCCTGTCTCCCTCAACGGCCAACAAGTGGAAACGACTGAGACTCATCATCTCCCTAGACATGAAACGAAATCTCTTGGTGGACAGCTAACCTTGGAAGTGCTGCAACAGCCTTCTCTGCCCAGCATCGCATCTTGCCATTTTTGCCAGAATATTTGGCAAGAACCAGATGGCAAAACGTCTTCCTGCTCTCATCGTCCCTGAGAAGAAAAAAAATCCTTCATCTGAGTCCCAAAACATGATACAGCTCCAGAAAAAGCAGTCAAAAATGGGCGATCCTCAAACGAAGCAGGCCCCCTTCTCCACCTTCCCTAGCTTCTCTATGCTTATTTTCCCATCCTTCCACCGTATAATCCCTCAGCTATCCTTTCTTCCACCCCGTCAGTTCAACCCAATCACCCCCGGCCCTCGATACTCACACCACTGCCCATCATTGTCTCTTCAACCACCATCCTTTTTTCAACCACCATCCTCTCTTCGACCACCATCCTTTCTTCCACCACCAATCTACATCAGCAACCCCAAAATGACCACTCTCCACAACCACCCCATCCTCTCCCTCTACCCCCCCATCGACCCAGTATGGGGCGACATAGCCCAACTCATCAAACCCCCTCCCACCGTCCCTCCAACCCTCTCTTCCACTCCCGATCTCACACCCTTTCATTTCCTCAACACCCAACATGACACCACTGCCATCACCAACGCTCCTTCCTCCGACAACACTCAAATCGACAAGCAGCTCAAAGAATCCTGGAACAAAGGCCGCGAGTACGGGCTGCAGGAAGGAGCGTTGAAAGCCGCCAAGAACAAGGCAGCGGTCTTGACAGGGATGAAACTTTTCTTTGGGGTGGTGGTGGATAGTGCTCCTGTTGTAGAGGAAGGAGGTGATAAGGGGGGGGTTGAGACGGAAAAATCAAGCGGGATGGAGATGGTGATTTGGACGCCCGATACCAGCAACAAGGACACTGATGATGAAGAGGGGACAGAAGAGGGTGATTTACTTGATTTTGAGGAGATGGGCGGTAACAATGTTGAAGGGGGTCTGGGTATGGCTGAGACTACCGACAGCCTCAGTGATGAGCAAGTGCCCGTCACCATGGAGCAGTCTAACTCTCTCAATGCTACGACCGCCCCAATCGACGCCCTCTACGAACGGTTCGGCATACCCTCACTTTTCAATACCCAGCCTGTGGCACCCAACTTCTACAGCACCCGTACCATCCCACCCTACCCGTTTGATGGTGATGCCGAGCAGCCAGACGTCCTCCTCCTCGGCCCTCTCAGCGAGCCTACCTTTGAGGAGTGGAAGCACGACCACGGCCGCGGCTATATAATGGCCAAGGCCATGGGAGTCTTCTCTACCACTCTCATTCACAAGAATCCTGACGAGACTTACGTCAGAGTCGAGTTTCACTCCCGCCGTACAAGAGATGATGCGCTGAGGGTGTTTGGTGGCGTTGTGGATGAGAAGGAGGGTCCGTTGTTTCTGAAGGGCGGGTATCCTTGGTAAGTGCATCAACATGACATCGCAAGGACCACCCATGATACTGACCAATGTGTAGCGGTGGAACCATCATGTTTGCTTGGAAGTGGAGGGGGGTGGATACAGACTGAACACCTCTCCATGGATTCCATGGCTCGATGCCGCTCCAGAGCTCTCACTGCTTAAACCGTTAGAAGTGGGCGGTGAAAATATCTATCTGAATATGTTACCCACAATGCGGTCATGAGGTACATACGGGTATCTGGTAGCTGGGCTAGCAAGATTTCATTTTTCTGCCATCTCAACTCAAGACCAATAACATGGTAATATTACGTCAAAGCCCAAGTGCTCGCACCCATCTTGAATCATTCTTGATCAGATATCCATCTTATTCCGCATCCTCCCACTGATCAACTAAATCCCCCATCCCCACACCCTGCACCAACCTCTCCATATTCACCCTCACACTCAACCTCACATACGGCGTCATCTCCTTATCCTTATTCACAAACCCACCCCCAGGCGCCGTGATATCCGAAGCTGCCCCCTTGCCATAGTGATGACTGAACAGCGGAGGCTGCACAGTAACGCAAACCGGTCGGTTCCCGGTCTCTCGAGGATAAAGCCCATCACACCAGTCCCCCAGCATCAAATCCCACCCTGCCGTCAACGTCTTCAACCCGAACTGGTATAGCAACTTCCGAGCACCTTGTTGACTGACAGCGTATGCTTGGGTGCACGTTGTCTTGTCCGAGGCATGCACGACTCTCGTGTGGGGTGCGTACTCTTTGGCAAGCGAGTCTTGGAGGGCAAAGGGATGCGCCTTCAGATGCTTGGCATCAGGCACGGTGACATCGCTGGGGATGGTAACTCGCAGCAAAGGGACTCTGTTCATTGTTGGCGTTTTGCTTTTGTGGGCGACAATAGTAGAGGCAGATGGAAATTCCGTGCCGCAATGACCCAACCACAGGACATCCCAGCTGTCCCCGTACGGTGTAAGGCGCGAGCGAAGATTTATCGGTATCTGAGAGACCGAGAGTTCGGAACGGTTCTCGGTGTCTGCAAGCGTCGATCTCGTTCTCGGGGCTGGTTGAGTGAAGGCTCTCGCAGCCTGAGCAAAAACTTGCATCTGTTCTTTGAGCCGGATGTCCCAGTCTGCGTCGTCTTCGAGGATAAGGGCGCTGGTTAAGTTATCTTGCACAATGCTGTCATCATATATCAGAATGAACATTTCCATCCAAGGGAAGCAATATAGGCCCACCGCTGCAACGCATTCATATGCGCCCTCCAGGACCCCTTATTTCCCTTTGAGATCTTCTTGTCCCAGCTGTCACCTGGTAGAACCCTCTCAGGCACGTCCTTGCCGTCAATACCGTCGATCCAATTGACGTCAAGCCTCGTCAGAGTAGCGGCCAAAGTCATGGCATCGCGCCTGTCTGATCTCTCTGGGAGGTTGATGACGAATATCTCCTGGAACTGTTCAGAATATCAGCCAGCTGCCCTGGGGGCAAGAGTGTCAGGTGGCAGTGCAATACTTACACCCAGTGTGGAATTCAGAACGTCGGAGAAGGCCTTGCCCTGTACTCGCGGGTAGTGAATGCCGCCATCAGACTGCAGACCCTGCGGCCCAAAGAACCAAAACACCACCAGGACAACAACAACTATGAGAGCCAGGTACCGGTGACCAAAGAGCACAGGCATGGTGGATCCATCGAAGCTGGGCTGTTGGGCGGAAATGTTGAAATGTGAAGTTCCTGAGCCAAGACATGACGTTGGGATATAGTTTGACCAGCGGGTGGAAGCGACGACGTGGAGGTTGGAGAAGGTGGGTAAATGCGGATAAAATCGCCGTTTTTCTTGATGGCGGGAAGGTGCCAAGCTACCGATCAGATCTCAAAGAGCCGCCTCCTCTTGATGACTGTCGTAATGCATTCCGAGTCCGTTCTATATCAAGAACAACGTCCTCGTCGGGATATGCTCAAAGTAATCAGCCGCCGATCTTGTCTCCCACCAGCCCTCTCCATGTCCCTTCTCCATATTGACATAACCCACCCTCATAAAAGTGCCCTGCTCTGTCGGCACAGGGGAGATGAGTAGACCTGCTGCATAATAAGCGCCATATCCTACGTTGCCGACACCAGCATGGACAAGCAGAACAAATAGCGCATCGAATGTTGAGGGGGGGACATCAAAAGTGGCCACCCCAATCTGCTCCCCACCATAACCAAAGATATTCGGTCCAACAATGAAGTTCTTCCCCAGACTTATTCTCGTCGCGTGACGCACAGGAAGAATACGCCCTCGTAGCTCCAGCTTTGCTCCCACTACATCGCCGTAGTTTCCCAGTGCACCACTCGCACGGAAAGACAGGTCGACAAACTCACAAGAGTAATCCGAAAACCCAAAGGTGGAATCGCGAGCGGCCCAAAAGCTGACCTTGCCACTGTAGCGCGCCCAAGACCAGGAGGGCAATGTGCTCGAGGCCGGGGGATTCATTGCCGTTTTCCTTCCGTACCAGAGAAGTCCCGCCAGAATGTCCTCTCGCCAGAGTCCAGCAATGTAAAACAAGTCAACAGACTTGGCCCATTCCTTGGCAATGCCAGCTATGGCAGGCAGCTTGTCGGTGTGAAAAGAGAGCTGGCGCCCGCTGTACTCCGCAACTAAATTGTACCACTGTCTCATCCTCGCTGCGAGCTCATGCTTTGCTTCGGTCCAGTCTGGTGGTATTCTGTTGAAGTTGGGGTATACGGACTGGTATGGCGCAAATATGTCCATCCTTTCCTTCCACATGGCAGGTTGCACAGCGTCTTGTTGGATGTAATGGTATTTCCCATCTTGGCGGATCGAGGTTTGTCTGCACTCCCAGTACAGCTGCTGAGCTCCGTAGTAAAGTATGCGAGGCGACAAGAGCTTTTCCTGCAGTACCCAACCACGGCTGTCAAGGGGTGTCTGTGTCAGACGTTCAATTTCGAATGTGGGATCCCGAACGTAGATGCTGCCCACCAACTGATTGTCCGGGCTTCGGTACTCGAGTCGACATGCTGGGACATCACGGTGTCTTGTGATGAAACAGCCATCCCGGGCATTTCTGGCTGCTCTTGCGGCTATTGTCAGCACGCTGTGTTTGTAAATCTCTCCCATCATGGCTGATTCCTTCTCCCAGTCCTCTTTGGAGTCTTGGAGAATGCACAACGAGTCAATCCACAGATATCGAATTCCTAGCCTCCGCGAAATACGGGCTGCATCTCTGAAGGTCGGAGGTAGGTTGGAAATGGCCTTCGTATGTTCCTCAATATTGTCACTCGTCGTTGTGATTGGCACATGGCCACCCCAACAATGGCTCAATGCGCTATATTGACCCTGTCGACCAGCAGTATGTAGCAGGTAAGGCACCCGAGAACCATCAAATGGTCCGAGGTCAAGAACTCGAGTAGGGAGACGTGGAATCTCATCTCGTCGACCACACCCGGCGTGATTGCTCAGACATTTTTGAAGACATTGAGTGGCAAACGCAAAGTCATCGTTTGAACTGCCGTCTGTAGTCGGCAACGGTCGACCAGTGACACCGCCGTGGCTCGCAGCAGGGTCACCTTGGCAAACGGTCAGTCAAATTCTCAGTTGATTGAGACACTACACTTTCATACCTGCATATGCGAAAATGTCAAGCACCCCAGACAAAGCGAACTGATGGTCGGGGTGCATGCTCGGATCAGCGGGCCCATCATCACCATCCTCATCGTCAGTATCCGCATCAGGGATCTCCCCAGATGTGATGATCTGGATGCGATCCAAATATCCTGTTGGGGTCACGCCCGGCCAAGCGACAAGAGAGATCTCTCTGCCGGGATATTTCTCGGACACGTGAGCTAGAGCGTCACTTCCTCGGTCCCCCTCTCGCGAGTTGCTTTGCCCCAGGGCGTGCCAGATAAAGCGACAAAGCACACACCCATGGTCCATGGATTGTTTCAGGGCGAGGTAGGTAGGCTGGTGACGCTGCATCTTCCGGTCATCCGACACGCCCATTTGATCCAGTGATATTTCTCGACATATCCCGCAAAGAGGCCGGGAGCTGGAATGATTCGACTGTCTCATTGTTGATCGTGGGTATGAGCTTTCAGCGTTCATGTGGCTCGTTGCTATCGCCATTTGACAACCTCGAAGCTAAGGTACGCACACATCGGCTGCCTCCGATCCCAGCCAATAAGAGGTTCCTCGATTCTGGCTGACAATCAGCTGAGGCTGAGCCCAACATTTCCATGCGTGGTAGAAGCGGGGGAAACGCTCCGTAAAAGTCGTCCAGACCCCATTTTCCGGCCCATTCCCCCAACCAGGTTGACCTCTCGGATCCACTCGAGGTCGCGCCGGGCAAACAAACATGCGTCTCCTCAATCCCGAACCCTCGCCTTCAAGCAGTTCTTCGGCCGCCGACCGCCCTACGCCATCTTGTCGCACACTTGGGACGGAGAAGAAGTCTCACATCAAGATGTCCGGGACCAGATACCTTCGCTGCAGTCGAAACAAGGATACCGAAAATTACAGGAGTCCTGCAGGATAGCAGCCGAACAGCGGTTCGAGTGGGCATGGGTCGACACTTGCTGCATCGACAAGACGAACAATGCCGAACTGACAGAAAGCATCAACTCCATGTTCCGCTGGTATCAACAGGCCGCCGCCTGCTTCGTGTACCTTTCCGATCTTCCCGCCACCGGAGAGCTAAAGACCAATCTTCCAAACTGTCGATGGTTCCGTCGTGGTTGGACCCTACAGGAGCTGCTCGCCCCAGAGAAAGTGCAGTTCTACGACAAGGACTGGGACCTGCGAGGCACCAAAGACGGTCTTATCGTCAAGCTCGAATCCATCACCGGCATCCCAGCCGACATCCTCACAGGCCATGCCTCCATCCGCCAAATATCCATCGCAGACCGCATGTCCTGGGCCGCAAACCGGCAAACCACCCGCCCCGAAGATGTCGCGTACTGTCTGCTCGGCATCTTCGACGTCAACCTCCCCATGATCTACGGCGAGGGCGAAAATGCCTTTCGACGCCTCCAAGAGGAAATTATCCGCAAAAGCAACGACATGACCATCTTTGCTTGGCAAAAAAGTAACAAACATGTCACTTCTTCTCTAGGTTCAACAACACCGCACAGGTCCGGATCCCCCTTACTCGCCACCTCCCCGGACGACTTCACCCGCCACAACAAAAACGAAACCATCTCCATCCTCAGCATCCGCAACGCCGCCATGAGCGCCTCCATCAACCCAGAGTACATCTTCACCAACAAAGGCCTGCGCATCACCTCCTCCCTCCTCCGTCTAACACAAGAAGACATCGGCGAACCAGACCAAGGCCTGCATTATTTCCTCGGTCTAGGGGAGATAAAACCCCGATCCAGCCCGCCCGGCCAACGAGGAAGAATGATGGGAATCACCCTCAACAAAAACGGCCCCGACTTCTTCGTCCGCAGAAACTGCCCCTTACGAGTGCTATCCGAGCCAGAAGGTTCTGTTCTGCTGACAACCTGCAGAAGAAGCTTTTATACCCAGCTGGACGATACCGCTACCCAACCACTGAATATAACCTCACCGGTGGATGCAATCGCCTTTCCACTCCAACGTCTCACCACCACCACAGACCCCCGGGCCCCAGAGAAAATCACGGTCTGGCCGGGAAGAGCCCGGCCAGAGAGCCACTGGGACGAAACCCGGCGTTTGTTCTTCCGTTCCAACAAACGGTTGCTAGTACTGGCGATATCAGCCTTTGCCATCTTCCAAGATTGTACAAGGGTGGAGTTGCTGATGTTGGTTGACCAGCGCGCCAAGAGGCCCGCTGTGCAGCTTTTTTTGCAGGAGAATGAAGCGGAGTTGTATGAGTGGTTTCTTGGACGGACGGAGGCGAGCGATATTCATTATTGGGAGCAGCTGCCTGGGGAGTTGTGGAGGAAGGCGTCGCCTTGGCCGGGGAGTCAGGTTGAGGTTGTTGTGGATGAGGGAAGGAGGTATGTGATGTCGGCGTGGATACAGGAGACTGATGATCCAGAGGCGGCGGCGTTGCATCAGGTTGTGTTTAGAGCTGAAAGGACAGGCGGTGTGACGGACGAAATCCGGGCGAAGTTGTAGATATCATGGATGATGCAGGTGTGTGTACAACTTGTTTCCAGTTGCTTGGCTGCTGCGTCACGACATTTGGTGCCATAGTCAGCTGCCTGGTCGGAGTTTTGAGCCTCACCCACCCTGCCATGAGTCCCCCTTAAGGCCTTCGTGTCTCTTGGCTTCTTTCAACCTGCCTGCAACCTGTCAGTGCAGCGCAACGATGTTTCAGACAACCTTGGAAGCGACTCAGAGGCGATGGATTGGGACCACTTCTTTCTTTCTTCTCACGCACAACCTCCACATCAACCGTCGAGTACAACTGCCCCTCTCCTTGTTCCTTACCGCTTATCTGTGGTTTCTCCCAGTGCTCGCCACCGAAACACCACCCCTATATGCACTGTCAATCCTCGTCGTCGCGTACGGACATGCATACTGGAGATACGGCATCAATCCCTTTGCCCAGATCGACAGTGCCGTCTCGCTGGCCGGCCGTATTGCTCGGGTGGCGTTCGTTACTATTGGCCACTGTTGGAGTGATTCGCTGGTTGGAAGGCTTTGGCTTGCCAGGTTCCCGGTGATCTTCTTTTACGATCTCGAAATCAAAGCGTATTGGACCTTTATCTTGGTACCCCTCGCTTACAAGCTGCGTCTCCAGCGGGTTTTCGAGTGGTTCCAGGTCGAGGTGTGCTTCTTGTGGAGGCTGGGGGCGGGGGGCGTTGAGTGGGATAGTTCCGGAGCATATCATTAACGTCTACTGGAGGTACAACAAGGCTCATCATCAGCGAAGAGCCCACGCTTATCGACCAAGTCAACCCAAATTGCTGCTATACACTTATACTCCCTTATCTCCAGAGAAGACCACCATCCGACTTTTATTGGTTCATCTTGGCCACCGCCACAAGGCTATGTCATGCAATTTGTTCGAAGTTGAGCTCAAATCGGCCCCACCTTTTGAGGCGATCTCATACAGATGGGCCCAAGCCGAGAGAGATGACGGCGAGTACATAATCGTCAGTGACTGCACATTGCGCGTCGCGTCCAATGTCTTTGAGCTTCTTGGAGACCTCCGATCTACTCTCCTCCCGCGATTGATCTGGATAGACTCAATCTGCATTGACCAGCTCTCGGAAAACGAAAAGTCGTACCAGGTGTACTTGATGGGAGATATTGACTCATCCGCATCCCTGGTCACCATCTGGCTTGGCTCACCTTCGAGAGAGATGAGCTGGACAACGCTGAGCCGGGTCATTCGCTGGTTGCCGAAGCGGATCACGGAAGTTGATTCTTTCGACAGGATACTAAAGAGTGTCTTCGCCATCCTTGCCTTCCGCCTGATTGACCAGCTTCGCATCAACACTTCGTTTACAAGGGACAATCTCAAGGCATATCGGGAGGTGGGCAAGTATCGCTTCACTGCCTGGTGGCTTCCGCTTATGCATCTCCTCGAGCATGAGTGGTTCGAGCGCGTCTGGTTGGCCCAGGAAACTGTTCTCGCTTCCGGGGCTCGTGTCATGTATGGACGGATGTGTTGCAACTGGGACGACTTCTATCGAGCGCTTGCGATTGTTGAATCAAATGTTCGTCTCCGGATAGCATTGGAGTGGACGCAGAGTACAGATTGCTGGAAGAACAAAATGACTCTGCGGAGTTTCCATGTTGGCACTGTATGTTGCATGCAGCACTGGAGAGTAAGACGCGTTGTGGGAAAGGGATTGCCGCAATTCAAAGATGTCATGTCGACGGCCCATCTACTCAGAGCAAGTGATCCGCGGGACAAGGTTTTTGGAGTCCATGAGCTCGCCGCCAAAGGGGAAGGCAGTCGTTTCACGCAACCCAACTACTCCAAGAACACCAATGAGGTGTATTTGGATGCTGCACTGCGAGTGATTGAGGAGAGTGGTCTTTTCGAGCTGTTGTCACATGCAGGGACAGGGTGCATCGATGTCGATGCATTACAATGTCTTCGATCGTGGGTACCGGACTGGAGCCTTGCTCGTCATGCTGAACCCCTTGGGTGCATCTCTGGTCAACCCCCCTACCGCGCGGGTGGGACTCCCAACGTGCTGGATCTCCCCTCGTTTGCTAACGGTCCTTTGTTTCTTCGAGGAGCGGAACTGGACCTCGTCGCCGAGCTTCCGCCACCTCACGCCCCTTGGCTCGATGCTAAGCTCGCCAGGGTGTTCAAGGCTTCTCGGGAAATGGTCATGTCGTCGAGTCAGGCTGTTGATAGGTACCGAAAGAGTGCGGAGCCCACCTCGATAGAGGATGTCTTCATCAGATTGCTGATTGGTGATCGCACTGAGACGGAATGGCCTGCCCCAGATTCAGTTCGCGGCCTTCACGACCGGTGGCTGCTAACCATGAGGCTGTACGAGAAAATGTATCGACTGGTGGAAGCCAATCGAGGGAACCAGCCAGCTGAGGACGACTATATTGAAGGCATGATGGCGAGACGCAGATATAGTGAACTCATATCCAGAGCTTGGCGGGGAAGGAGGGTCGCGGTAACACGGAATGGCTATGTGTGTCTCATCCCGAGACATGCAAAACCCGGTGATGCTGTGTGGCTGATCGATGGGGCCCCAACGCCGTATGTTCTTCGTTCGCGGGAGACGGTGGACGGCGGTTGGGAGTTTGTTGGAGATTGCTATGTTCATGGTGTCATGAATGGAAGCGCCGTTGTCGCTGGCGGCCCCAGGAAGATGGTCAAGCTTGTTTAGGGAACAAACCTTTGCTCGGTGGCTTACTGGCAGCATCGATGGCCCCAGCCACAACTGTTGCTGTCAAAGCAGGAGAGACGAGCAAATATGGCGTGATACTCAAGAGCACCTTCCTCGTTTGATATTCATCAAAGCACCTTCCTCTTCTCAATCTTTATTTAAATCTTGGTAAGAGCCCAAGGCTGTTGCCCCTTCCCTCCCTTTCAGCCACAAACCCCGCTGACCAAGTATTTAAGCGCCGGTCAATTTGGGGATTTAACTTGAAGGAAGTCGCAAATTTTAAGCCAACATTACTCTCGAAACCCGGAGAGTTTTCTCCGCACGCAACATGTCGTGACGTCGACGATTTGGTTGAAGATATGGATGCCAAGACAACTCGTGTCCATATGACGGCAGCATTGTTACCGTCGCCGAACTCATGTCTTCTCCCCACAAATCCACTGCCCAGTATCTCTCACGACCCAAGGTACCCTATTTACATTCATCGACAGATCATCCACCATGGTTGCAGAGAACATGACGGCCAGGCTGGCCGAGATGGCCCTCGGACACGGTGACCAAAACCGTGCGGCCCACACCGATATCTCCAACCCTGACCGCGACGGCGGCCGGTACACGGACGACAGCGGCGCGAAGATGAAAGCCCTCGCTTGGATGGGCAAGAACGACGTACGAGTCATCGAGACGTCCAAGCCTAAGATTGTCGATGACCACGATGTCATCCTCAAGGTCACTGGTTCTACCGTCTGCGGCAGCGACGTACACCTGATGCATGGAGTGGTGGTGCAGGTCGAAAAGGGCGATATTCTGGGACACGAGTTCTGCGGCGTTGTCGAGTCGGTGGGACCGTCGATCACCAAGCTCGCTGTTGGTGATCGGGTGGTGAACAGCTTTTGCATCTCTTGCGGCGAGTGTAGTTACTGCAAGGACAAGCTCCCTACTGCATGCGAAAAGACGAATGCCTCAACTCTTCACGCCAAGCTTTATGGCGGGCGCATGGGCGGCATCTTTGGTTACTCACACTTGACGGGGGGGTATGCGGGCGGACAGGCCGAGTACGTCAGGATCCCGCTGGCTGAGAACAACCTCCTCAAGATCCCTGACAACGTCCCGGATGAAAAGGCACTGTATCTCTCTGATGTGCTGCCCACTTCGTACCACAGCGTGGTCTACACCGGCGTCAACGAGGGAGACACAGTCGCCATCTGGGGCCTCGGTCCCATCGGCTTCATGGCGTGCTTTTGGGCAAAGAAGAAGGGTGCGAAACGTGTTATTGGCATCGACAGCAACTGGCGGACCGAGTACGCAAAGTCCAAGATCCCGGGGCTAGAGACCATCAACTATGCAACATTGGAATCTGGACAGACAGTGCCGACAAAGATACACGAAATGGTGCCTGGGGGTGTTGATGTCAGCATTGATGCGAGCGGAGGAGAGTACGCCAAAGGATGGGCGCACAAGCTGGAGATGGCGATTGGGGCGGAGCAGGATACAAGCGAGATGATCAATGAATGTCTGTACGCGACCAAGAAGTTTGGGAGAGTCGGCATCATTGGTGATTACGTCGGGTTCACTAATCATTTCAATGTCGGTGCCCTGATGGAGCTTGGTATTTACTTGATCGGGTGTGGACAGGCTCCAGTGCAGAGATGTAAGTTTGCTCACACCTTTAGTGACCGCTTCAGTGGCTAACATTGCTTCAGATTGGGAGGAGCTTCTCGAGATGGTTGAAAAAGGAGAGATCGATCCCACCATCATGTTGACGCATCGGTTCAAGATTGACGATATAGCAAAGGCATATAAGCTGCAGGAGAAGAGGGAGGAGGGTCTGGTGAAATGTTTTGTCGAGACGAGGTTCTCTGCCCCGCGTGCTGAAGGGACTCCGGAGCTCACGAGTTTGTAGTCTTCCCACTCCATCATGGACCTAGGTACCTTACAGGCATGTATTGGCGCTAGCAATGGCAGCTCTTTGCAAGCGAGAGAGTTGTATCGTGTTATTATTTGAATTCTCATGCACAGCCTTGTCTCATCGTGTCATCGCCATATTTGGAGTCTTCACCGAGCCGGGGGTTCATGACATCGACGGTGTAACCAGGTTACACATCATGGAACTGCAGGCTCCCCGAGAAAATTCCTTCTCAATTTAACAATCAACTCTTCGAGACGTAACGTCGTATCGTGTCTGGGAAGAAATCAGAATCGATTTTGGCATCCTCCCAACGTATGTCTTGGCAACAGTTCAGCCTCTGTTCTCACAACAGCAAGCCACGTCAGCTGTTGGGTTTAAGCCACCACGCATGTCGTCTGTAGCTTTGCAGTGTCAAGTAGGCAGAGATGCAACCCAGAATGCATGGGTATAAGGGTCCTCGTATTCTCGAAGGGTTACCGGGGAAAGTCGGTGAAGGATCAGGCGCCCGGCGGGCATCGACTTAAAGAGTCCGAAGAATGCCTTGCAGTTTCGAAAAGGCACATTGATGGCGTGCTTTGACGAAGGTTAGTCCTGGATTGGGTCTCAATGTTCAATCTCAGCACTGCAACCTTCTAAAGACCCATTCTCAGCTTGTGCTATTCCGCCCATTTCCTCCAAGAGCCAGAGATGACGTTCATGGTAAATAGGTAGGTGACAGGAAGACACACCCTTGGTCCGCCCGCCTTTGAACCGCTGGATCGGCATTTTTACTTCCCCTTAAAAGCCTTGCCCCGATCCGCGGATTGAGGTCACATTCTCGGCTTTAAAGCCACCTTACATGCTACCGAGCATGATATCGCAGGGAAATGCAAAGTCCCGGGACTTTGTTGTTGTCTGATTCATGCGGATCTTTACCCACCTGGCCGGCCCATATCCGACTGGATCAGGTCGGATTGGGGAACTGTGTAGGATCCGACTTCCCCCAATGAAGTGGCTCCAATTAGTCAAAGTGCAACCTGGAATACCACATTACATACCTGGGCGAAGGAGGCTATGCTCGGGTTCGCATGATGTCGAGCCGCTTGCGCGTCCATATGCGCGGTCCGATGGAACTTGCCGTGCTACCCAAGATCCTGGTGCATGTCTGTAGAGCGATCGATATAAAGATGGGAGCTTGTCGTGGCCAATGTTGAGATGAGAGGCAGGTAGGACAGGTTGACGGTTTTGTACTATCATTGTCATTCATCATGAGACTTGCAGCCTTTCTTTCTTTGGCGGTGGCCGCTGCGGCTGTCAATGTGTCCAACAGCGACCCCTTTGAGCAATGGCATGGGCCTAAGGCAGGCGATGGTGCGTAATTCTCACAGCGGGAGATCTGTGATGCCTGATTGCATCAGCTAACCTTTTCATAGTCCGTGGGCCATGCCCATTCCTAAACACCTTTGCCAACCACGGCTTCCTCCCTCGTACCGGCAAATACATCACCCTCGATGACCTCACCAACGGCCTCTTCAACGCTGTCAACTTCGATGCCAACATCTCCGCTTTCCTCTTTGACTTCGCCATCAGCACGAACCCGGAGCCGAACTCTACCTGGTTCTCGCTTGACCACTTGACCCGCCACAACGTGCTGGAGCATGATGCCAGTCTCTCGTATGTCACACCCCCATAAACTCCAATGGATTGCTCTGATATATGTCTTCACAGTCGCGTCGACGCCTTCCACGGCCACGCCGACATTTTCAACCAGGAAGCCTTTGACGAAACCCGCTCCCACTGGGGCGACATCGTCAACGTCGAGAGCGGTGCCGCTGCCATCGTCGCTCGCATGAAGACATGCAAATCAACCAATCCTCAATACTCCCTCTCCCAACTTGGCGAGGCTTTCATCCTCGGCGAGACAGCCGCGTTCATCTCCATCCTCGGAGACGCTGAGGCCCTCACTGTCGAGAAGACGCGTGTGGAATACCTTTTCCGTACGTTTAGCATCGTTCTATCACACTCATTGAAGTTCCGGTTTCTGACTTGGTAAATATAGAAAACGAGCGTCTCCCGACCGAACTTGGCTGGAAGAGACCCGAGGCTCAGTTCACGACCGATATTCTGGTGCGGAACCTGCAGGCGGTGGCTGTCGAGTATCAGAAGAGGCTGAACTCGACTGTCTTGAGGAAGAGGGGGGTGGATTATGCTGAGCGGTTGATGGATGGTAGGGCGAGGGTGCTCTAGACAAGACGTCTGGTTTGTGCACAGATGAAAAGGATTGCAATATCTAGCTAAAGAACCAGGCTGCAACACCTGTAGAAGCCTTTGGCCACATTGCACATGTCTCCCGTCCAATGTCGGGGTTCTTACACACGTTACCCCTTCGCCTGGTGTTCTCAGCTGCTCCGGCCCGTCTGGGCTTCTAACATGGCGCCTGTCAGGAGCAAACTGCCCGCGCCGGGATGAGTGTCCCGAGCGACAGGGACGCTCGATGAGGAAGGAAGTGACTGCCATTTTCGGAAGGAAAGATGTCGCCAGCTCGGAACTCGTCCTTTCTCTGCATTTCAACGATACCGGGGCTACGCTGATGAAGAAGCGGGGGTGAATAGGCGACTTCCAATTAAAAATGTGGTGATATCAATGAAGATGGGTGGTGACGTCATGAGCACTTCACTTGTCGTACCTTCACTCTCCACCACCCCATGAACGCGTCATTGGACTATATGTAAATGATTCAGAGGGAAGGAGCCGAGAATTGGTTGCCGATATTTAAGGACCTGTCCCAAAGCTGACGAACAGTCATTTCAAATCTCGCAATCCTCATTGATCAGTTTTCTCGACTTTCTTCACCACTTCGACAAGTCACACAACACTTAAACAACCACAACCACAACCACAATCACAATAACCATGATGCGTCTACGCCCTCTCGTATCAGCCCCTATCATGGGCGCCTTGAGGCAACAAACCCTCCCATGTGCGGCTCGTCAGTTCTCAGCCTCCGTCAAGCCCGGCACATCCATCTCCGAAGTCATCACCAAAGACCACCGAGAGCTCGAGCAGTACTACAACGAAGTCATTAACTCCAATGACCCCGATCACCAACAGCGCTTTGGCAACCAATTCACTTGGGAGCTGGCGCGCCACTCGGTCGCCGAAGAGCTGATTGTCTATCCCGCTTTTGAGTCTCATATGGGCGACAAGGGCCACGCCATGGCCGAGGACGACCGCAAGCAACATCACAGAGTGAGCATCTCCATCTAGCGCTTCCGATACAGCACAGTCATACTAACAAAATCCAACAGGTAAAAGAGCTCCTCAAGGAATTCCAGAACATGAAGGCCGAGTCGGCAGACTATGTCCCCAAGCTGAAGGAGCTTTGGTCGGTCTTGTCGCAACACATCAAGGAGGAGGAGGAGAATGACCTGCCGGCGCTCGAGGCGGCGTTGCAGTCGGCCAAGGGCGAGTCGGAGGGCATGGCGAAGAAGTTTGGTCTCACCAAGGCGTTCGTTCCGTCAAGAAGCCACCCAAGTGCGGGGGAGAACCCTTACTTCGAGTCGGCCATGGGAATGTTGGCTGCGCCTATTGACCACATTGCGGATATCTTTAGGAAGTTTCCTGGGAACACCAAGTCCCCCAACCCATCTACCAAGTAGATGGAGACATAAGATGGGAAAATGGGAGTTTTTGTACATACTTTAATGCATAATTTGGACTTCTGTTTTGAGTGCGGTATGCCTGCCTACGTGCACGATATCTATCGTCTCAGGCGCTCGACAGGTTCTGAGGAGGCCTGGTCCAGTAGACCCAACCACGCATAAATGGGTTTTGGATGAGCTTCATACCCAAGTATTTCGACGGTTTTGAGCTCCTTGAAACCGATATTCTTAAAGAACAGCCTGCCCATGGGAGTCCCTGCCACTCATATTCCAGTACCAGCTTCCTTCGCCAAAGCAAGAAGCCAGGTGGTGATGCCGGTTGCGTGTTCTCTGCGCCAATACGCTGGCTGGGTGGGTGGCGATCATTTTAATCACCACTCGTCCTTTAAACGCACTGTAGGAACTCATTTTAGCTCGCGGCGTCTTATATAACACTGCCGAAATGGATCGCAACGTACGCGAGCTCTTCCGGATGAAAGCGTGTCGTCAAATATCTTAGCCCCCACTGGATCTTTGTCGCGCGTCAAAACCGGATCGTCAGTGTTTGGTGGACCGTCCCTATTGGAGGCAAAAGATCAAATCGTCAGTGATGCTGTTTGCAGCCACGATGAACCAACAGAGTGAGGTAGAGACTTTACCGTTGGGTTGAAACTGCCCATGACGCAGGGAGCCTGGCAGTGGGGGGAAGCTTGCAACTGATACAACGGCCTTCCCCTTGTTGAGAGAGTCTCGCGGAATTTGCTCCTCAAACGGAGGATATACCCCAGCCAACGCTTCATACACGTGTTTGCTTTCAGATTGGTCAAGATTGTGTTGTACGACTAGGACTATGGAGTCAGGGTCGAGGATGGCATTGCGAAAGGAATTGCGGTAGCTTAAAAAAATATCTATAAAATACTTGCCATAATAAAATCTCTCATAAACAAACCATGAGGAATAAAAAAAGGATGAGGCTGCGATGATGCCAATTTGGGGGATGTCTTTAAGGCGGCAAGGCGAAGAGCAGAGGAGCTGGAAACATTGAGTTGGAGGTTGACCAGCGTTGCTTGTGTTTTAATTGTTAGTGTTTGGCGTTGAACTGTCCCCCATGGCTAACGAGCCTGGTGCCTGTGGACCCCGCGTGTTGCCAACGCAGAAGGTTCAGGAACTTCAGATGAAGAGCCAGCGTTTGCAACTCGGCACAAATGCTCCGGGCGTGGTCGCTTCTCACTGTAGGGGGTCGTTCACTACCTACGTACATGCTCTGTCCCTGCTGATCTTCGGCAGTGACATCACCGCCCGTGGCTCCATAAAACTCCACCAAAGCTCTGTTGTTAACCTCATCAGCCTCCAATGCCAAGTCTTCCCTTTCACACCCAAATCGATTTCACCCACCGAGCAAAAACTGCGAAAATGCTTAGAATACCTAAAAGAATCCCTGCCCTACCACGGGTCTCGACAATTGAGATATATCTCCTCCCTCATTCGACGCAAACACGCTCCATCCAACAGCAACACCACCAAACCAACCAGCAGCCCTCATCACAGCCATCCACAGAAACACCGCCGCCCAACCCCCAAGAAGATGCCACCCCACCAAAAAAGAAGAAAACCCTCAAAGAACTAGACGAAGAGCTCCGCCTGAAAATGGAAGGCCTCTCAGGCGAAGGAGGCGAATCAGGCGTCGAGTACGAAGACGGGAAGCCAGTCGCGATGAAGAGAGGCGTGAGGGACAACATGTTTCGCTACATCTAACCCTCCTATCATGCACCTAGCTAAAGACCAAGACCAAGCTCCCCAATAATAACACCCGCCGCCTTCTCCCCCACCGCCATAGCCATGTTATTCGTATTCGCAGCCACATTCCCAGGCAGGACGCTCAAATCGGCGATCTTGAGGCCTGTGGTGCCGTACACATTCAGGTTTTCGTCCACTACCGACCCGATTTTGCATGTGCCGAGGGAGTGCCAGGTCGTGCTGACGTTTTGACGGATATGCTGCTCGATTATGGCGTCGTCTTGGGGGGTGTAGGAGATGTTGTTGACCTTGCCGTTGAGGGGTTGGTTGAGGTGGACTGCGCTGGCTTTGGAGGAGGGAGAGAAAGGGGGGTGGCAGGGGGTGACTTCGCCGCGGTAGAGGGGCATTCGTCGGGCGATTTCACGTTGGGTTTTGTACAACCAGATGTGCATTTTGATGTCGAGATTGTTTTTGTCGGTCAAGAAGCCGGTTTTGAAGTCTGGTGGGGAGGTCAGTTCGGGGCTGGTGATGTGGATGTGGCCGCGGGAGTAAGGGTGGACGGTGAAGCAGCTGATGGAGAAGTACTGTTTATCCGGGCCGAATGCGGAAACGAGGTCGGGGTTGTTGGGGAAAACGGCTACGGGGGCGATCATGCCGAGGGGCTTGTCGGGGGTGTTGGCGAAGTCGTTGTTCCAGGCGGCTTCAAAGGCCGGTCCTAGGTCGGTGATGTCTTTGTCGGCAAGAGGGCGGAGCTTGCAGGTTACGTCCATGGTGTTCCACCCCAGGGTGGGGTCATTATTTTGGATCAGGGTGGCTGGATCTACGCGACCAAGGGCAACAGAATCGGCTGTCTCCGATGGGGATAGAGAGGAGTGGTAAGGGTACACGCAGAGTTGGTGGTCTTCGTATTCAGCGCCAACTCCGGGTAGGGGGACAACTATTTCGACTTTGGCGCGGGAGAGAACTTCGGGGGAGCCAATGCCAGATCGCTCGAGAATGGGCGGTGTGCCCAGGGCGCCGGAGGAAATGACTATCGTTTTGCGGGCTTTGACCGTTTGGGTGGGTGAATGAGTGTCGTGGTAAAGCGGGTTGCGGGTGACCTCTACAGCCCTGACGCGCTTGTTGTCGTCGAAGAGGACACGGATGACGCTTGTTTCGAGGAGGACATGGAGGTTGGGATTGGTGCCGGATTGGAGGCGCGGGTGGAGGTAGCGGTTCGCGGTGTCTTGACGTGCACCGTCGGGAGATACATAGCGGAGGGCGGGTTGGGCTCCTGTGTTCCCGATTAGCAGGTCAATAGGAGTTTAGCTGCAAACTGGCAAAGAACATACCAATTCCATTCGAGGAGTCCAGGTTCTGGAGATCATCACTTGTGGGCCATCCCGTTTCTTCCACTACAGAAAGGAACTCATTTTGGAACCTGGTAGACGTGAAAGTGCCAGTAGAAACATTAATGGGACCATCATGACCATGCGTTCCATTGTGGTCCACTCCGTGATAAGTCTCCAGCTTTAAGTGTGTCAGTGAATCCAGTCTCTCAAAGCATCCCTTGGTTAATACTGACCTTCTTTAGATACGGCAACATCTCATCAGCAGACCAACCTGGCACACCCCACCCGTCGAAGTCGGACCTCTGAGCCCGAGTGTACATCATCAGGTTGATCGACGACCCGCCCCCGAGAACACCACCAGCAGGGACAATGATCTCTCGACCATCCAGCTGCTCCTCCGGCGCTGTTTGGTAAAAAATGCTTGCCTTGCTGCCTGGCACAATGTTCTGCATGAAGAACAGCGGATATGCGATTGTGGGCAGGTCATTATTGCTGCCGCGCTCAATCACCAGGATGGAAAGGTTGGGATCAGCATCTGTTAGTCTTGCGGCGACGATGCAGCCGGCCGTGCCACCTGTCCGCTAAGTTAGGTCTCTCGTTCACTGCTTGTCATTAATTAGAACGGTGAGAGTCTCACCTCCGGCGATGATGATGTCGACCTCGGTGAGGGATTCCGGTAGCTCTTTGTAGAGGCCCATGGTGATGTCCAACGGAGTCTCAGTGCAAAAACGGTCAAAAGCGGTAGTGAAATGCGTGAATCTGACACCTTTATGGGCGGCATTCAACCAGTAAAAGATTGCACATGTTTACAACACAAACTCGGACTTAAAGTCGCAACAAAATTTGGAGGCATGCGGGCCGCATCTTGCTTACTGGCTGGTGGGACTGTCATGCAACAGTTGATAGGTTGCATACCGACGCTGAGAATGAGCCGAGACTCGAACTTTGCACCTTGCTTGGGCTGTTGGTTGTATCAATGAGGGATCTGGCAACAGCCAAGTAAACCCTGCATTGCCCAGAACTTCCCATGGACCTCGTGAGCATGTAGTAGCACTGTTACAGGTAGTAAGCTGCATCGGATGATTCCCTATTCCCATTCATCGATGGGTCCTTGTTACAAGAAGATGCAGGTTGAAGAGTCAAGCAAAGTCTCTGCAAGAAATAGGGATGTCATTACTCATGCATGGCTGGTACTGTATCTAGCCAGCTTCCTCAAAATTACCACCCAGTCCGATCCAGTAAACAAATATAATTCCATATTGAAGTTGTCCACCCTTGTGATGACATCAAGAACGGGATTGAGAGCGCTTACATTCATACAGCAGTCGCACCGCAATGCGCCACCCAATCATCAAGCACAAACGACCACGCAGCAGCCACCGCGATCACCACCTCTCACACCCACCTCTCACTCTTCCTCTCCCTTCTCCCTATCTCATTTCCCTCTCACTTCATAAAGTCCAATTCTGGCCGTCAAATCACCCAAACATACCCATCCCTTCAAATCTTCCCCCCTCACTCCTCTCCAACTTCCTATCCACCTCCCCATTCTCTCCGCCCTCCACACCACCACCATCCATCATCATCCCCCATTCACTCCTCCCCCCTTCACCACACATCCTCATCCTCCTCACCCTCTCCCCCTTCTCATCAACTCTCCACACAACCCTTCCACATCTCCCATTAACCTTTCTTCTCTTTCTTCCCTTCACATCCCACAACCTTCACTCTCCCCAAACTCACCACACATCTACAATATTTCCTCCACACAAATCCACACCAATCACCCAATAAATCCCACCCCCCCACACCAACTCTCACCACCTTCCACCTTCACCCCCCCCCCCCCCACACTCTTCCCTTCCCTCACACCTCCCTCCTTCCTCCCAACATTTCATTACCTCACTCCACCACTCCCACCCTCTCACCTTATCCCACATCAACTACACCATATCAC